AGACGGGCAGGAAGGCAGCCCAAAAAAAAGGGAACTACATACATACATACAAGCGATGATTGATTTCATGCCAAAGTTGATTTCAATCAACAATGTTTATGCAGTTTCTCGTTGTTGTTGTCGTTATCGATGTTGCCGTTGTTGTTGCTGCCGTAGCTGCCGCCGGCTGCAGCGTTAAAGCTTATTGAACAAACCAGCGTGGAGTATGAAGTACACTTAGAAAATAAAGGTACAACTATAGCCAGTTAGAGAACTAAAAATGACAGGTTTCCCAGCTTTTCCAATTGAAAAAATAAAGCTGTTCGCCCCCAAATTTGGTGAAGAAGTTTCAAAACTTTTTATAGATTTGTTGTCAAAAGCAAAATTGTCTGCTACAATTATTTGGTAGATTAACAAACTCTAGATTTCAAATTTTTCATTATATCTGTTTAAATTATTCATAGAAATAAATCATTAATTATATCTCTCCTAGTATGTGTTGCCTTAAATACTGTAAAATGTCTAAACTATTTTAAATCTTTCATAACACAGATAGATAGATATTTAGATATTCAAACATCAATAGAATTGTGTCAAAATATATTGCAGTTCCACCATTCATTCAACTCAACATATTTTTGCCAAGTGTAGGTTAGTTAAGTAGAGTAAGGCCGCTTGGGGCTACAAACTTTTGACAAGAATTATGACACTACCATATTTGGCTCTGTATTTTGTTCGATGGCCCCTCAGGGGCGTGTCGTTTAATTGTTAAAAGCGCATAATTAAACCGTTCAACGTGCGTTGAACTTAAACAAAAATCAGCCACAGTACGAGTAACAGCAACAACAACAAAAATAACAACACAATAAAAATATGAGAAAAAAAAAACATAAGCTAATAAGCTTTTTGGCAGTTGCCAGCAGCGTTGAACGTTCAACGTTCGCCTTTCGCCGATTGCCGTTCAGATCAATTTTTTATGATACCAGCAGCTTAGCATGAAACGAGCGACAAAAGCGACAAAAACTTAATCAAGAGCCATGAAATCGCATTGAAATGAAAGAGAAAATTGTTACAGCCGCTAAACAACAACAACAGGCAGCGGCAACAAAAGCCGAGCAAACTCATCAAAAGCATAGAGAAGAAATCAAAAATGCTAAGCGTTATTATTGAGGCTCTTCGCTGTTACAAAAACAAATTGCCGGCCATTATGTGTGCGCGTGTCGGGGGCAAGGAGCGTTTCCCGTGACCATCAACCATGATTCTTGTGGTCTTCTTCTTGGGGCATGTGCTCTCGATTTAATGGGCAATGTTAGAGATGAAGTTTTCTGCTGGCTCCACCATCATCAAATTAAAGTTTGCCGCAAAAGGAAGTGTGTATATGTCTGAGTGTGCTGTGTTTATAAATACAGTATGAGTTTGTTATACTCGTATGTTTTAGTTTCTTAATTTCCCAACTATCTTGCTTCTACTATATATATCTAACTATACATCTATCTAGCTAATTATCTCTTTATTTGTCTTTCTGCCTATCCATATACGTGTATACCTCGCCATCATCGCCTCTTGCTAAACAAGTGGAGTTTATTTTATCGAGTGAGCGCTGTACTGCTGAAGTAGTCAACACTTAGACATAATGCATCATTAAAGTTATAGCGGATTATGTTTGGGGGCAGCCCTTACTCGCAGAAAATAACACAACACAACACTTTTTTCGCCTTCGTGAAACCGAAACTGATTTAAGCTGCACACAGACACACATGGACGTAACATTTAATAAACGTTAAAAGCAAATGTCATTAGGGACGTTGGCTGGACGTTGCCGCCTTGCCCTGACACTTGATGAGCTGTCATAACATTAGATCAAGCAGAGGAGACAGTAGACAGGGGGCAATCAGAAGAACAGAGAGGTTGGGTTGGGTTGGAAGTGGGCTGCGTGGCAGCGTGGGCGTCAGAGCAGCTTGCTCATTAGTCTTGGCAAATTGTTTATTCTACTTATTATTATAAACATTAGCAATGAGCCAGCGAGCGAGCGAGCAAGACGTGAATGATGAAGGCGTGAAAAGCTTTAACAACTTTAACTAAACACACTTTGACTTAATTTTCATTTTCACTTTTGAGATGCTGACAACTTGCCAAGTTGATGGACGCATCCACTAATTGATTGATTGATAGACGTACTGAATGAATGACTAACCGAATGACTGACTGACTGCCTGTCTGCCTGCCTAATGTCAAAGGTGTCAAAGAAAGCTTGCCCCAAAGTGACTAAAAAATAATATTGGGCCACAAGTTTTTCAAAGACATTTTTTTGTAAGAAAAATCTGTTGTTTGTTCATTTTTACTTTTCCTTTTCTTTTGCTTGGAGTCTTAGTATTTACTTGTTGCAAGCGTGTGAGGTAATTCGATGCGGTTAATCAAAAGGCGACACTTGACTGCTGGGCCACCAAAGCCGCCGAGCAGTTGTCAAGCCTGTCCGGCTATGACGAATCCAAAAATTATGAGCCAATTTGTTACAGCCACTATTTAAGTTCATTGAGCGTAATGAGCAATTGTTGTCGACGGGCAGAGGGAAATATCTTACGAGTATGTACCGGTTTGCTAGAGTTGTGGGTGCAAAGCATTGGAAAAAAAATCTCAAACAATGTGTAGGAACTATAAAAAAAGAAGAACAACAAACATATTTTTATTTGCAGCTAATAGGCAGGCTTGTGGTCGGTCCGCGTATTCACAATACTTACAAAAATCTGCACAAATGACTTCCGTTACAGACACAAATTATAATGTAAATCGATGCAACATGAACATGAAATATAATTGAATTGAAAATGTTGCCACACAGCAGCAACAGCGGCCGCGGCTGCGACAACAACAACGGGAGCAACAGGAGCTGCAGCAACCAAAGAGACAAGCTAACCAAGGACAGTGGCATGGCGTTTAAAAATATTACTTAAAACTACAAACATTTTCAAGTAATGATAAATTAAAGTTTGATAATAATTGAATATTTTAAAAAAATGTCAAAAGTTTCGGGCTATAAATACATCAATTTTTCTAAACTTTATTTATTCAGCATATAAAATTGAATGAGATTTCGGCTTATATTAATTTATTTTTATTTAAATTGTGGAAATAGCTTTTTAAAACAGCTAAAACATTTCTAATATGAATCATAACTAAAAGTTATAAAACGGATTTTAGAAATAGAGGTCTCCCTAAACATTAAAGCCACACAAAATATTTTTAAACATCAAAGGTATTCATGACTGTCTTTTTCTAATATTGATTGCAAACTGAAGAAAAATAGAAAGTAACTAGGAAATAATCGAGTAGCATTTTTTTGTTGTTGCTTGAATCGGTTTTGCCTCACAGTATGCTGTCAGCTGGCGACAACAAAAGTAAGGGGGAAAATGCTAATAAATGCAAAAGGCAGCAGCGGCAACAAAAAAGATGCAACAACTAAACATAACATTGTGGCTCGTTTAGCCAACGAACAGACGTCATGTAACATGTAACTGCACATCAAATATGGCCAAGAAAATTGTGGTTTTTTTTTCCATTTTAGCTGGGCAGAGGGCGCCGCATCGTTGATATATCATCAAAGCAGTAGCAGCAGATCATTTGGAAGAGCAGCAAGAATGAATAAAAAGTAGTAGAAGAAGAAGAAGCAGCAGCGGGAGTTGCAACAGCAACATCATTTCAAACTAAAAGAACAACAGCCACACACACACACACACTCACACACACACAGCCTCACACACAAATCAATGCAATTTCTATTTGTAAATGACCAAAATAAGAGTATGGCGACTACAACAATTGCTGTTGCTGGTGCTGCTGTTGCTGTGACTGCTGGCAGCAATTGTTGATGTTGTCGTTGTTGTCAGTGTGCCTTGCCATTGCCATTGACTACATGCATAAAATTTGAGAATGCAGCCAGCTTGCTGCTGTTGTCCAAAGTCCATACACATGCAGTGTTGTTGCTGTTGCTGCTGCTGCTGCTGAGATTGCCAGCATGTTGCTGCTGCTGTCTGTGGCTGCTGTCTGTGGCTGCTGTTGTAGCTTGAAATTATGAGACCACCTTTGAGTGTTTGTTCTTGTTATTATTGCTGTGGCTGCAGTACACGTCCCATGTTGTTGTTGCTGTAGGAATTGTTGCAATTTCTTGCTGCTGCTGCTGCTGCTCGCTGCATTTAATTGTGTTCGGCGCTTTTCAGTAGTTTTTTACTTTACATGGCAACTTTCCTAAGCTTGACAATTAATAAATATATTGCCATAATTTATCAGACATTTCCTACCACATTTGTTGGCTTCATTTGCGTGGCACTCTTCCCTTAATACGATATATACATAGTATGTACATATATCTCTCACTGTGTATGTATGTTTGTAGGCCCGGCGCCGGAGCTGGCAAATCGATTAAGCTGTCGTTGTCGTTATCTTTGGCGGCAACACACACACGCACTTGTGTGTGTGGCAAAAGAAAATGAATTAAAATTGCCAACATATGAAGAAAAAAAAAAAACGAGGCGGGCGTTTTGATGCATGTTGCAGCAGAGGAAGGGGCAGCAGCAACAACTTTTCTGCTGCCCTGAACTTTTTTTGTTTCGCTCTTTGTGTTGTGTTTTTTTTTTGGGTTACATCTTTACATTGCTATATTGCTACTTCTTGGTCTGCGGCACAAAAATTCAATTTAAAATATTGCTGCACTTTGCTTGTTATTAGCTCGTTGCATGCGTTGCTGCAACATGTGCGCAGCAAATACGACGTTGATTATTTATCAACGACGCTGCAATGCAACAAAAGCAACGACACAGCTATGTACGTGTATATGGAATTGGCCAGATACTGTGGTCAAGATCAACATATCGCCAGCAACTAATTTCGACTATATCCATTCATTCTTTTAATGATTTTAATACCCATCATAGCAGGCCCCGAATTACAAGCTAGTGGTATTTGAGTTTCTAATTCAAAAAGTCCTTCAAACAATTTACATTTATTTTCACAATGGACACATCGAATGTTCATCTAATGGTGCGAAAAGATAAAATAACTTTGCTCTTGACAGCACAGGAGTACACCAGAATTCTCGAACTCAAATATATGATTGGCGCCATTTTGAAGGAACTGCCGTCGAATATGCAGTTATACAACACAGAAAGAGATCTCTTGGAGGATGCCAATCTCTTGAGGGACTATGATATAACGTCAAAGACAGCACTGCCTCATAATCCTGCCCAATTCATTGTGGTGGTCAAGAACGCGGAGGGCTTCTTTGGATCATTCGATATCATGCCATACTCAACACCCGAGCCATTGCCTCCTGAACCAGACTCTAGCGGCGATGAGAGCTTGCCAAATGAAATGAGTCTAATGTAAGATTGATGGCTGATGGATGAGGAAGATCGTATTTCAATGGATTGGGGTCTGGCCCGCGATACATACTATACTTTATTTATTTTATTTAATGCAGCCTTTGCTGCAGATTTTTTTATATGCCTGATCGCAGTGAGACTTCAAGTTCGCTCTACTAAATGTCTTGAGATTAAAATTTTAGATGTATAGTCGGGGAGTCGACTAAACGAAAAACTAAACAAATGTTAAAATTAAATATTTGAAATAAATATTATAAATATTCCTGTGAGCAACAAGTGCCATAGTTGCTAATAATTGTGATTGAATGAAATGTCTTTAGTTTAAAGTTTTAAATGGATAGTCGGCTTCTCATGAACTAATATTTGGCAAAAAAAAAAACTAAATAAATGTTAAAGTAAAATATTTGAAATAAATATTATAAATATTCCTAATACTTGTGATTGATTGAACTCCGGCAGATGTTGCTTTGATTCCCCTACGTTCGTGCAGCAGGTCTCGACCACTGTGCCTCGGCCTGTTGCTGCTACCTATAGTTGTGGTTGCTGTTGTTGTTGCTGTTGTTGCTGCTGCTTGTAGTCTCGAGTCTAGCCTACGTGCAGTCACTCAATAAGCTGAGCTCGGGTGGGTGTGTTATACAAGTATGTGCGTGTGTGCCAGCCCACCGCGCTTTCAAAGCAACATAATTTGTTGCCAACATTTGTGTTTCGTTTTTTCGTCGTTGTTGCCAAAGTTGTTGCCATTCCGCGGTCAACAGCAACAACAACAGCAGTAACAAGCAACCAGCTAGCAGCAACATGGCCGCCAATTTTGCCCGAGTCCTGTGCATAAAATGCTTTTAACTTTAATTTCGCATTTGGCTGGCCACTCATTTGCATTTTACTGTCAAATTAATCCAATTTAACACAAGAGGCCGCGCGTACTGGCCAACAACAATTTTTGCTTCACGTCGTTGTGTCAAATGTCTGGAGCCAGCTGGAGAGGGGGGGTTAGTGAAGTGCAAGTGGAAGTGGAAGAGGATAAGAGTTCGCTGTCTTACGCAAAATACACGCTGCCAAAACGAACAACATAATTACCGTTAAGAATTGCGCTTATTGTATAGAAGGCCAGCAAGCAGGCAAGCAAGCAAGGTAGAAAAGAACAACGTTTTGGGCTCCTTAATTGCCAGCAATGTCCATTTGAGACCCATAAAGGCGGCTATACATATATGTATGTATTTCTATGTGTATGTATGTGTGTGTGTGTGTGTGTGTGCAGCTGTCCGTTGCGCCTGCGCACGATTTCTGCTGCTGGCTTGTTAACTTGGCTCACTCACTCACTCACTCATTCGGTGGTTCGTTCCTACGTTTGCCAGCCTGGTTTGTTGGCCAAGGCGAATTAGCAATATGGGAAACGAATCGCCATCCACATTGCGGCATGTGCAACATGTTCCATGTTCTTTGCTGCTACCAATGCCACATTGTGGCTGCCGGCTGCCTGGACTTCTTGGACTGCTGCTGCTGTTGCTGCTGCTGCTTGTGGTCTGTTAGCTTGGCCGCACGTATCGATCGCATTCCGCGCCTAATTCGTTGTATTTTTCTGCTCTGCCTTGTGTAATGGACCGCGCGCATGCGCGTCGTCTGACCAAAAGCTTCTTACCATATTCAGATAGCCAAGAGAGAGATTGCAACTCGTTCGCTTGCGCTGCTGTCGCAAATCAGATAGAAGTGAGTGTACGCTAGAGAGGAGAGAGCGTGAAGGAACTGACGAACTGACCAGCAAAAACAAAAAATTAAAATACTAGAAAACATCCAGACTAATTGAAAACCTTCTCTTTTTTTGAAGGCGTTTAAAGTGCAGGCAGACCCACCCCCCATCATTGTTATTTTTTTAAAAACAATTTCGTTTCAATTAAAGTCTAATTGTCTAATTATATTTACTCGATTGACAATTTTGCAGGCGTTTCATGTACTTGGTGCTGTGATGCTTTTCTATCCCTAACCTAGAAAGCTCGTCAGCTTGAAATCGAATTGATAGCCTACTCCTTTTTTGAAGGCGTTTAAAAAATGAAGGCAGACCCACATTAGCTTTTGTAGACAGTTTCCTTTCAATTAACGTCGAATTGCGACACGAAAAGTATTTCTATTATTTGTACTCGATCGGCAGTTTTGGAGGCGATGTCATCGATGTTGTGATACTTTTCTATCCCTAATCTAGAAAGCTCATCAGCTTGAGTTCGCTCACGACTTCCGCACATCTCTGAGCAACTCACAGTCGATTGTTTTGCATATGTAGATACACGCTGAACAAAACCCGGGCCGCCATCGTCGTCGTCGTCGTCTTCGTAGTTACGCACGGTTGATTTGCAAAATATTTGCATATGCTTGAAATTCTCCAGCCACTCGCTGTCAAGCTGCCTTTTGTTGCTGTTGCTGTTGGTGTTGCTGTTGTCGTTGCTGATGCTGATGCTGTTGCTGTTGCTGTTCTGTTGCCGTTGTACTTGTAGCTACAAAATATATTAAATTTAAAACGCAAGACGAACCGAAATATGTTAAACGCGTGACTAATGTGAGAACGTTCTTGCCCCATGACCATGTCTGTCTACGTTGCCTTCGTTAACACTGCGCTCTGCGATCTTGATCAATGATCATCGGCCACAGCTGCCTAATTAGCTATGCAAACTATGAGATACCCAAATGTCCGATACAACAAGTTATTTGCGAAAAAGAAAAAATGCGCACGTCCTCCATTTTGTTGTTGGGCTTAGCTCTTTTCTTCCTCTAATGATATTTACGCGCCTCAATATGCGTGTAATGGGAACGGGGCACAGCGATCGCGTAGAGTAGAGAAATGAAAGCTCTCTGCTTAAATTGGCTCCAATTAGTTACCAATTTTATCTAAACTGTGTGGGGGCGCCAAATTTGTGGCTAAGTAACTGGCAATTGTATGGCAATGTTGAGCTATTGCCCATAAACCTGCAATTTGACTAAACACCGATATTTAGTTAAGTGGTTTGCATGCCGCTTTTGTCTAGATGGTTCAGGTTTACGTACATATGTGTTGAAAGTGTAGCGGGAATGTGGATTAACAGGGGAAAGAGGAAGACATTTGTGGAGCCATTATATTCCTTACACTAGAAAATATGAACTGCAGGTGTATGTGGACTTCAAAAAGAAGAAGAAGTGGAACCAAAATAGACAATATAATATAACAGAAAAAGTTTCATAGGTGGGGGCCACAAAACTCTTTAAAGAACAAATAGTTACAATAGTTGTATTAAAATATTTCCAAGTTGGTGATAATATTTGCTTCACATATGTTAGTAGATCCAGAGAACGATTGGTTCAAAGGTGTATATGGTCTTCAAAAAGAAGAAATGGAACCAAAATATAAAATATAATATAACAGAAACAGCTTGATATGTGGGGGCCACAAAACCCCTTTAAATCCCTTTGCTTCATATATATGTTAGTATTAAATATAAAGGGTTCGTTTGTTTGTATGTTTCAAAATATAAAACTCAATTAGATAGCAGACTGCCGGCTCTTGTTGCATAATAACTTCGAAATAATGAAGCAGCAGTGTAGTTCATTTTAATGGTATGTGATAATATTTGCTTCACATATATACTAGTATTAATTAGAATAGGTTCAATTTCGTTTCAGTTCCTTAAAAATGTTTCAAAATATAAAACTCAATTAGGTGCCAGACTCCCGCTCTTGTTGCATAACAACTTAAAAATAAAAAAGCAGCAGCGTAGTTTATTGTCAATATTCGTTCCATGCTACCAAGAGATAACATCTTATCCTGCTAGATATCCCTGCTTAAATTTAGTTCGGTAGCCATATGCCGCAGTTGGACAACAGCTTGCTTCGCATGTCTTTTCGAGGCTCAATATATTACACTCATTGTAGGATGATGGCATTGGGATCTTTGTCTGCAGCCTCTTCGAGCACTTCGTCTACCTACACACACCTCAGACGAGTGGAGGAACATACCAAAATGCCATTGTTACAAAACCGAAAAGAACCTTCTTTCCCATTTCTTTTCATTTGCTACGTCTTTTATTTTTATTTTTTTGTCTAACGCGTCTATTGTTTGTCTTGGATACTTTTTCGACTATTTGGTTTTTATTATATTCGTTAAATTTATGACCCTGCCGAGCCAGTTGCGATCGCACTCGCACTCGCACCCACAAGCCTGCTCGCCCTCTCTCGCTCGCTCACACACCCTGTTGTTTGGTGCAGCACATGTTGCATTGTTTGATTTTCTTTTAGCGCAATGCAGCTAATAGTCTGATCTGTACGCAGGCGAAGCGGCCGCTTAGATTTCCATCCACATCTTCAGACGATGGCGGCACGAATTTTCTTTGACCTTGCACACACACACAGAGAGACACTTACACATACAATCTATAGAATGGTCGTCTGCAGCATTGTCTTCGGCAGCCATTTTGTACTCGAAATTGCGCCAGCAATAAAAATAATTCCAACTTCACGTTGTTGCTTCAATTAGGCAGCATTTTAGGCGAGAAAACTTTGCACATTAAATGAAAATTGCTCGCTGGGTGTCTGCGACTTACTCACCCACTCACACATACACACATACAGCTGTAAAACAGATAATCATAAAAATTTAGCAGCTTCCGCTGGCCCTAAACGCTCGCCAGCGCAGAAAATTGTTAAATTTTATTTGCAAAGTTTTGCGGCAGTTGCTTTTTTGTTTTATTTTATTTGTACTTTTCATGAATTTTTTTGTTTTTTGTTTTTTTGACGCTGTTGAAATTTAATTTGTGCCCCAAACTGTGGCAGTGGCAACATCAAAAGCAGCTGCTTTAGTTCGCTTCTTTGCTACTGCTGTCAATAGCTTCGACTTTCAGTTCTGCTGCTCCTGTTTCCCGCTCCGCGTCTGCCACAATAGAGATGTGCGGGAAGAGAAGCTGTGATTTTTGTTGGATTTGTGACAAAATATCAAAGTGTCAGAAGTGTGGCTGAACGCGAAGAATATTATGGGAAGGCATACTTTCAGAGCAAATAATACTATAATTAGTTATAGACCAGACCAACATGGTTCCAAGATGATGATTTTATTTTTCAAATCTGACGATTGTTAGATTTTTAAATGTCAAAGCTTTGTCAAAACGAAAAGAGTTTTATGGGAAGGCACACTTATAAAGCTGGCCTAAATAATACTACTTATAACAATTTATAGACCAGACCATCATGGTTCCAAGAATATGATTTTATTTTTCAAATCAAAAGATTGTAAGATTTTAAAATGTAAAAGCTTTGTCAATTATAAGCATTGAATAACATTTATTTAGTCCTGATTTTATTTAACAATTAAAAAAGTACACACTAAACATATACATGTTCTTATCTACAA